ATGGGATTTAGAAGGAGGCATCCCTCAATCTGCTGGCAGGGAGCAGGGGGGTCTTCACTTGCTCCCTGGAGCTTCAGCCTTCTGCTCTGTCCAGTCAGTGTGGACCTTGCAGGCCCTTCAAGGCTTGTTCATGTGCATCCTGGCATCTCCCCAGATGCTCAGGCTTTCCTCTGCCAGGCAGTGGGCAGTAAGGGAGGGATGGCATTTGGCTTGGCTCTCCTCCAGCAGCTCCCAGACCAGCTGGCTGGGAGCTGAAGGTTGAACAGTGCTTGCCAATCCTCTGGAGAAGGAGGACACCTCTTTTTCTGATGCAGCTCAGCATCTCCAGCCAGACAGGCCACGGATCTGTTGGGAGACCTGTGATGAATTCCAGTGGCCACAAGCAATGTCTCCGTGGAGATCCCTGCCGGGTGATGTGTCCATTCCCTGAGGACTTGCATTGGAATTCCACTAGGAAAGGGGGAAACTGCTGCTGCCTGTTACAACCTCGAGCACCTACAGCTCCCTCATCCCCCTGGATGTGCCTTCCCTGGCTCCCCCTTCCTGCCCCCGGGTTCGGTGCCTGCTGCGGAGATCCCATCATCTCAGTTCAGAGGGATAATGGGTGGAAAGAGCCCGGAGACACCTGCTCAGTGAAGCAGCCAGGGATGGCACCGATGCATTAAAACCAGAGTGAAATTGCTGCAAACAAAGTGCAGAAGTCCCTGCAGCTCGGGGTTATCTCCTGCCTTCACGTTCCGAACCGACGGAGCATGTTCATGGCTATTCATCAGCACGAGGCCAGGCCCCTGGAAAAGCAGCTTTTACCTGCCTTGATGCTGTCCCTCCTCAAACACACTCCCAAAAAAAGGCAAGGCCCATGCATCTTTAATCGGGGCACTGAACAACTCCGTTTGCTATCTATAATTTAATCCTACTTGGAGAGGCTGAACAAGGGGGCGTTTCGGCAGGGGGGAGATTCCTCTGCCTGCCTTCAGCCACCACACTGGTGCAGGCAGGGAGAGAGGCAGAGGTGCAGGAAGCGAGGGGGCAGAAGTTTAGGCAGGGAGAAGGGAAGAGGTGCAGGCAGGGAAAGGGCAGTGATACAGGTAGGGAAAGGAGCAGAGGTGCAGGGAGGAGAGGGGAAAAGGTGCAGGCAGGAAAAGGGCAGGGAGAGGAAGGAGAGGGGCAGAGGAGCAGGCAGGGAAAGGGCAGAGGGGCAGGCAGGGAGAGGGACAGCGAGGTGGACAGCATCCAGAGCAGGCTGGTGCTCCCAGAGCCGCCCTGCCTCCCCCCTCACCTGCCCGCGGGCTGCGAGCCCCGGCGGCGGGATGGGGGTTGTTGAAAGCTGTTTCCACTCCGCCGCACAGATGTTCCCAGCCCGTGCCAAGAGAGCGGGAGAGGCTTAAAGAAAGAAAACATTGTCCTATGGCAAAGCCCAGCGAGCATGTAAGGAAGATTTCTCGTTTTTTGTTATTGCCATTATGATTTGGCAGCGTGAAAATGGATTTCTCTCGGGCCTGAATCAGCTCAGCTCCAACCTATTCAGGATTTTATCCTAGTGCTCATCCCGATATCCAAGTGCCTCCCTGGCACAGAGTCTCATGCCCAGCCAGAGGGAACATTTCTAGTGCCATCCTGTCACCGTGTCTCCCTAATCAAACCCAAACTCTCTGTGTTTTTATATTCATTCCAGCTGTCTGGTGTCCAAAGCACTGGGACAATTCATGCCATAACAGCAAGGAATTTTCCATGATAGTGACCAAGCATTTCCCCCTTTTCTTTCTTCCCCCCCAAACCCCTCCCCAGTTTTTCCCCGCTCCACATTTGCTCCAAAGTCTAAGCTTGGTACAGAGAAAACAGGAGCTAAAAAGGCAGAAGCTGGAGAGAGCCAGGAGATCCCAAAAAAGGCATTTTTGGGAGAAAGTGCTGACGCAACCCAGCGGTGCCGTCGTGCTGCAGCGCCAATAAATATTTGATTTAGCCTGAATAGGAAGGCATCACATTCAGAATGATCTGAAGAAGAGGGAAGATCACAAATACAATATTATTGAAAGGAAGATCAGCGTGGTGAGCATTCCTGGAGCTCACCCCGGCGTGCAAATTGCCTCAGATTGGAATAAACTGGTGTTACCTGTTGGAAAGGTACCACTAGCTGCACTGGGGTGGGTGGGCTGTGCTGCCAGTCACAGGATGCCTGTGCCTGGTGCTTGGAAAGACACTGAGAGATAAAAATCCAGCAGATTTTTAAGTCCTTGGCTGACGTGCTGTCAGCATTCCCTGCACTGGCATTACTGGGCACAGCTGGGGGTGCTGACAGGGCCCTGGAAAAGCCACTTTCATTACCCAATACTTTCTAATTCTGGCAGGTTTGGGTTTTTTTGACTTGACTGCATTGCAATTTAGACTATTTCCCTGTCATGTGTTCATCAGGTCTTGCTTTCCATCATCCCCTTCCAACAAACACAGGGTTCTGATCTCACTCTCTCAATCCATTCCTGCCTCTCAGACTATCCACTCCCCTCACCTTTTCTTTCAGTTTTTCCTTGCTCTCTTTAACAAGTTGCTCTGGATTTCTGGTTCCACTTAGCTCAGCATTAAGCCCTGCTCAGGTTCCCTCCCTCACTCCCACCACTGCTGTTCTGGCTCGTGTGGGATGCTGCTGGGCTTGAGTGTCCAGCCAAAACCAACCAGAGAGAAACAACAAGTACTTTTCTTTTCAATGAGCTGGGAGTTTTCTAGATCCGATAACCCCCTTCTTCCCACACTGAGTGAAGCACAACCTGCCTTTGTTAAATAATTCAGGCTGAAAAAATCCGCATGTCCTCATGAAAATGCTCTGGTACATCCCAGTTTCCACCTCCTCAGGGTCTTCAGCAGGGTTTGCAGTGGATGGGTCTGTGGAGTGGGGCCAGGAATCTGCTGGGGGTCCCAGGGAGCGCTCAGGACTTTGCTTTATGGATTGTGACCTTTGTATAGGTTAAGGGAGCCTAATATTGAGGATGCCTTTCCCACAAGAGCATTTTGTCTACTGGCTTGATAAAGATGGATTTCACAGCTCTCTGGCCAGGAGGATGCTGAGAAATGAGTTTTTACCATGGGTTCAGAGCCAGTTCAAGAGTCAAATTCTGAACTTGGGGGTGTTTTGTAGCTGGAATTTTTTGCTCAGCTTTGGTTCTGACTTCCTTGACTGCCTGGGACAGCTGCCAGCCCGGTGTCCCCCAGGGGAGTCACCATCTCCCTGCCACCACCTCACCTGAGCTCACGGCCCCCCACTCAGGGACACTTGGCTTGCAGGGAGGAGGGATCATGACATCCTGGCCCTTCCTCCATCATTTTGCTCCATCTCTACTGAACTCACGTCATCACCAGCTGTGTCCAGGGCAGGGCTTGCAGCACATCCCTGTGCCTGAGGTGCTGGTGGTGCCTCATTCCTCTGCAGGGCGGGGGAGGTGGTGGGAATGCTGCCTGGCACAGCAGATCCTTCCCTGGGACACAGGGAGATGCTGCTGGATGCTCCCAATGCCTGCAGGGATGGAAGAGCCTGCAGCATCTAAAATCAATTTTAGCCCCCCCCGAGCCCCCCTCCCTGGCTCAGCATCAGCCTTGGCAGTTCCCCAGGGACAGAAGAGCTGCTTGGCTGCAATAGGGGCAATGCCACCCCTCTGCCCTGCAGCAAGGTGACATTTAGTGGCACCCCTGCCTGGCAGAGGGACTTTCTTCCTTCTCTGTCCCTTCCCAGCCCTGTGGCCCTGCTGGGATGTGCCAGGGTTCATTGGTACCCTGAGCAGCTCTGCAGCCTCCCATCTCTGCTCCATCTCTGTTATCCCAGAAGGTTCGTGAGAGCCATCTGAGCAGTCCTGGGTGAGAGTTCATCTTGGGGCAGCTGGCAGAGGAATGCAGGTCCCAGCCTCATGTAGCTGCACTGACTTGGGCAATTTGAGTCCCCCAGAGCTGTTTGAAGAGAAAAGTGCTGCTGTTGGGCTGTGGGTGAGTGGAAGGCAAGTTGCTGCAGAAACAACTGGTCCTGCTGCAGACCCCCTGCTTGTGCTGGCATGGTGGCCATGGGACAGGTCCAGCTGGACCAGGGCACTAATCCATCTGAAAGTCACCTGTAAACCCCACAGCGGGTTTCCTCTGCTGAAGGTGCTACAGGTGGAGAGGAGGGAGCTGACCTGGTGGCTTTGGACATTCTTCATCCTCCCATCACACAGGGAGGGCTCAGGAGGCATCATTCCTCCCCAGACAGGCTCTGTCAGACCCCGAATGACCACCTGAGTGTGGTGCCAGACAGTGCAGGGTGGGCAGGAGGTGGGCAAAGCCTCCAGGCTCTGGCAGTGCTGGGTTGGTAACCCTTTGTGGCTCTGTGTGGAGGAACCCTCGTTATGTGGGTGCAGAGGAGACCACTGTCCTACTGCCCCAGCTGAGAGCATTCAGAGGTGGCAGAATTGGGGCATCTCACAGTCAGCCTGAGGTGGTGCTGAGGGCAGCAGGGTAGCACCTGCGGAGCATGGCTGGGATTCCTGGAAAAATCCAGGGACCGTGGAGGAGTCAGAGGGCTGGGTCACCCCAGGGTGATGCTGAGGGTGGAGGGCTGGGTCACCCCAGGTTGATGCTGGGGACACCAGGCAGGCGGGGCTCGACCGTCCGTGCCACCAGCGGCAGCTCCCCGCTCTCCCCCCGCCTCCTCTTCCTCCTCCTCCTCTCCGCTCCCTCTTCCTCCTCCTCCCGTCTCCCTCTCCCTCTCCCGAGCCAGCCCGGCCGGGGGAGGAGCCGGCCGCGCACAAAACCTCCCGCCCGGCCCCTCCGGGCCCCGCACCGGCACCGGCACCGGCGGCGCCCAGCGCCCTCCCCGGGGCCATGAGCGCCGCGGCGGGGCCGGGGCTGGGGCCGGCGGGGCCGGGGCAGGGCTGGGGCCGCCCGCGGCCATGAGCGCGGCGGGGACGGGCACGGGCGGCGGCCCCGGGGGGCGGCGGCGGCCCCGGGCGGGGGGCGGCGGCGGGGCGAGCCCGGCGGGGCGGCCCCGGGCGGGAGTGGGGGGGCGGCGGCGGCGGGCGCTGCGCTCGCTGGGCAGCCTGGCCGGGCGGCTGCTCCGCACCTGGGCGCGCCTGGCCGGGGGGCGCGGGGGTCGCCGAGCCGCCCCGGAGGATGACGAGGGCGGGTTCCGCGGCGGGGAGCGGCGCCGGCCCGGCCGGGCGGCCCCGGCGGCGGGGGGCGCGGGGGGCGATGCGGGAGCGGGCGGGGAGCGGCCGCCGGGCGCGCAGGGGCTGCGGAACCACGGGAACACCTGCTTCATGAACGCCGTGGTGCAGTGCCTGAGCAACACGGCGCCGCTGGCCGAGCGCCTGGCGCTGGGCCGGTACCGCGCCCGCGGGGCCCGCGCCGAGGTCACCCACCGGCTGGCGGCCCTGGTCCGAGCCCTCTGGACCCGCGACTACACCCCGCAGCTCTCCGCGGAGTTCAAGGTACCGACCGGACCCGCCCCGCGCGTCCCGAAGTGACCCCGGCCCCCAGCGGCATCCCCAGCCTCCATCGGCATGCCCAGCTCACAGCGCCCAGCAGCACCCCCTCCGAACCCACTGACACCTTTCCCAGACCCCGGCGCCCACCAGCACCCCCTCCAAACCCAGTGACACCTTTCCCAGACCCTGGTGCCCACGGGCACGTCCAGCTCACGGGCTCCACCAGCATCTCCTGCTCCCAGCACCTGCCAGCACCCCCCACTCTTAGCACCCTCTGACACCCCTGCCAGCCCTCCCAGCTCACAGCAGCCAACAGCATCCCCCCACTTCTAGGATCCCCCCACTCCCAGCACCCAGCAGCACTCCTAATTCACAGCACTTACCAGCATCCCTCCTCTCAGCACCCATCAGCACCGCCCAGCACCCACCAGCAACCCCTGCTCACAGGACCCACCAGCATCCCCCCACTCAGCACCCACTGGCACCACCAGGTCAGAGGACACATCAGTATCCCCTCTCTTGCAGCACCCACAGCACCCTCTGCTCACATCACTCACTCCCCTGCCTTGTCCTCCCCATGGACCCTGCCCTGCCAGACACCTCCCAGCCCTGCTGCCATCACCCCTCTGTGGCTGGGCTGCTGTTACCTGAGCTCTGAGCTCCCATGGGTGGGTGGGCTCCCAGCCCTGGCCATGCCACTGGGCTGTAAGGGTGAGCTGGCTGTGATGGTGGGGTAAGGCAGGACAGTGCCCTGGGAGCCCAACTCAGTGGCCTCAGGCCCTGTCACTGAGTGTGTCACATCCCTGCTGGGCACATGCCACTGTGCTGGGGCCCTGCACTCAGCTGGGGACAGGGACAGGGTGTCAGGCACAGGACAGCAGATCCAGCCTGGCACCACAGCTCCCCACGCTCAGGGACACGTGTCCTGGTGACATTTCAGCAGGGGCCTGAACTCTGCAAAGTGGAAAGCCAGGCCCTGCCCTGGGGTAAGCAGCCAGTCTGTATCTGCGTGGGCAAGGCCTGGGGTACCCACTTCTCTGCCCCCCCTTTCCAGGGGTGTCCTTCCTTCCTCCCTTCCCGGCCCCGAGGCTGGCAGCACCCACCCCACAGGGTGCTCCTGCAGGAGCTCTTTGCCTTTGACAGCCCTGGAGCAAAGCAACCAGCTCTTGTGCTGCTGGGCACAACAATCCCACGCCCTTTGCTCCTGAACACACACGTTCCTTAGGCACAGATCAAAAAAAAAAAACAACAAACAAACACCCTCAGACTTCCAGCCTTTGCTTTGCATTCCCTCCTTCCCGATGGTTACCTGCAGCTGCCACGAATTTCCACCTCATTTTTTTAAAGCCGCCCAAGTGAGATTTTAAAATTTGGAGCTGAGCCTGCAACTTGTTTTTTCTGGAAGCCCATCCGTGGTGGCCTTGCTCCCTCTGCTTGTAGTGGGATAGTTGTACTGCTGGGAGCAGGGCTGGGGACAAGCAGAGCCATGGCCAAAGGGGTCTTGGCTTGGGGTGTTTCCCAGCAATGCTGGAGGTCTGATCCCTATCCCGGCAGGTCCCAACATGCTGGTTATAATCAGCACGGACGGTCGGGGTTTCACGGCGTCACCTGGTTAAAATCCACGTGGATGGTCAGGCTTTCTCCCTCCTGCTGCTGGGTTTGGGGCTGAGCTCCTAAAATTGTCCTCTGAGGAGCCACCACCAGCCCAGACTTGGAGATGAGTCCTTGGGGATCCACCCAGCTCTGCTTTTTGGGGTGCTCCCGGGGCTTCCCACAGGGATTCCACACCCCTATGCACCCTGCTTTTTTGGGGTCAGGGACCCATCCTGGCGTGTGCATGCACAGCTCTCACGGTCTGTTGGCATCTGCTGGTGGCACATACCCTGGGGCCACCCAAACCACGGGCATGTAGCACCTCAGGGAGCTTGGCTGACTTGGCAGGGGAACTGGCGTCAGTGCTGGCTTGGTGACCTGAGGTCACCCTAGTGGGTGACACCTTGTCCTCCCTGGATATCACCTCAGCCCTATGGCATTCCCAGCCCCTCAGTGGGGACAGGCAGAGAGAGCACAGCATTGGGGTCTGATGGGGGCAGTGGTGGAGTTACAGGCAGGGAGGTGCTCTGTTTGATGGGGCAGGGGTGGCATTGGTGGCATGGGAGCATCACAGCATCCCAGTTGTGGGAATTGCCTTCTCCTGCATGTGACACCGAGTTGGTGCTGTTGGAGTGCACAGGGCAGGTGACACCGGTGGGTCCCCGTGGGCTGCTCTGGCTCATATGGGGTGTGCCCTGTGCCCAGCCACACCACGCTGTCCCCTCCCAGCCTCATGCCAGCAGCTGGGACACCACGGTGATGGGCATGGAGCTGCTGGCTGGTGTGCTGGTGTCCCCACCTCTCTGCCGTCCCCGGGGTGGTCACGATGTCCCTCTAGAAGCAGAATGAGGGCAGGCGCTGCCGCAGGGATGGAGCAGGGGTGGGTTTTGTGGTGGGTGATAACAAGGTATCAGTTCATTAGTGCCCAGCGGCGCTGCCCGTGGCTCACCCCTGCCCTGCCCATCTCTTGCAGAACATTGTCTCCAAGCACAGCTCGCAGTTCCGGGGCAACGCTCAGCACGACGCCCTCGAGTTCCTGCTCTGGCTGCTGGACCGCATGCACGAGGACCTGGGGGCTGCCTCCCCCGCCCAGCAGCCCCGCAGCCCCCAGGAGGTGGGTGACCCCACGGGGGTGGCTGCACACCCTGGCTCAGGGGGAAGGTGTTTGGGCCAGGTCTGGGAGCGGGGAAGCTGAAATGTCCTGGAAAGCAGTGGGACTGGAGCTCACTCCACCCCAGTGTGGATGGGGAGATGGATGATGTGGTTTGGTCGGTGGGTGGGTGGAATTGTGGCGGGATCTGGGTGCTGGAGAGGTGTGCAGGGTGGTTGGGGTGCTGGGAGAGGGTGGGGGTGTCAGCAGGAGCATCCCAGTTCCGGTGGGCATCCTGGTTCTTGGGGCTGCTTGGTGAGGAGGAGATCCAGCCCCCCCCATCCCTCCCTGCCTCCAGCTAAGCCCGCTGTAATTACAGCTCGGCGGCTTTGCTGCTGGCAAAATGAGTAATTAAGTCTCCCTCTATCCATCTGTGCTCAGGCATTGCCCTGGCCTTGGCCCTCCCTGCCTGCCTTCCTGCTTGCTGCAAGCTCCTTCCCTGCTCCCTCCCTCCCTCCCTGCCGGGTGCTGCCTGTTGCAGCGAGTGGATCTGTGCAGGTGGCATTTGCCACGTCAGCTCAGCTCCAGCAGAGTGCTGTCCCCACTTTGGGGGTGATGCCCACGACGGGAGGGATGTGCCCAGGTGATGGATGATGCCCAGGGAGCCTGGGACCAGCTTCCTCCTGCTTGGGGTGTCGTGGCTGTGGCCAAGGGTGCAGGTCAGGGTCCCCATGGGCAGCTCCTGCCCAGCCTCCAGCCTGCTGTGGGCACAGCTCTGTCCCACAGGGGAGGGCTCAGCTGCAGTGCCCATCTCTAGAGCTTCTGGCTGGGGCAGCCCTGTGGCTCCCAGCCCTGCTTGGCCAGGGTCCTGCAGCCATCCCTGCACTGAGCTGGGCTGTCCTCAGCCCTGCCATCTTTCCTGGGAGATGTTTGGATACCCCAGGCTCTCTGGGAGAGCCTGGCAGCTCCTGTTGTTCGTGTGTTAACTGTGAGGTGCCCACGTGTGCCATGGGCTGTGGTGTGACACCAGCAGTGCCCTCAGCTGCCCATGGAATGGGCAGGGCACCTGCCTGGCTCTGGGAGTGGCACCTGCACACCTGTGTCCTTGGGGAGGAGCTGCCCAGCGGGGGTGGTGGGAGCCTGGATAAATGGCTTGCAGGTGGGCACACACGTGCCTGTTCTAGTGTTGGGAAGGAGGAGGAAGGTGTGTGCACATACCCACGGATGGGGATGGGGAAACAATTTGCTCCTGGTCAAGCCCATCCTGAGGCTCAGGGACTGGGGAGCTCAGCTGTTGGGAAGCAGAAAGTGAGGAGATCAGAGCTGGGCAGGCTGGAGGGTTTGGAATACCCTCCTGGCCCACGAGGTGTGTGCTGTGGCACCCAGCGGGCTGTGGTGGGGACCAAGGCTTGGCTGCTGGGAGGGCTGGAGGAGGAGGAGGAGGTATCCCCTTGGGATTGGGGGATTTTGGGGGGCTGTGTAGGGCGCAGACATGGTCCAGGTCCCCTCTCATCCACACCAGATGGACCCCAGCCCCTCACAGATCTTAAGGACACGTCAGGCTCAGCAGGACCTGGTGCCAGCAGATGGCATGAGGAAAATCCACTTCCTGGCCAAATACCCGGTTATTTTCAATCTTACTCATCACGACACCAGAAACTCACTGTCTCACCCCAAAACAGCTCAGTCTCTTCCCAAGCCACCAACACTCCTTTCTGCAGCATCTCTTTTGTCACTGGGCTCTGGGGGTGAAGTCAGTGGCTTCTGTCCTTGACGTGGGGCTCCTGGTGGTTGGCAGGGCGGGGGGCAGGCAGGGTGCAGGCAGGGGAGTGTTGCCTACCCAGGCACAGTCACATCCCAGTGCCCTTATTCCCTGTGGAGCTGAGCTGAAGACTCTGCTCTCCTTGGCATCCCTGGGACACATCTCAGCTGTCAGAGAGGTGCTGTGCCCACCACCTGCACCCTCATGGACCCACAAGTGCTGGGGCAGGGTCAGGGTGCTGAGTGCTGTGCCAGGAGCCCTGCCCGGGCTCAGAGTGCCGAGTGCTGTGCCTGGGCTTGATGTGGCAGGTGCCACGCTGGGTGCTGTGCCTGGGCTTGCTGCTGGGGAAACACACAGCAGCAGCAGCAGCAGCAGCAGCAGGGCTGGTTTCTGGGCACCCCATAGCCCACACCAGCCCACCTGCCCGGCAGGGCATCGCACCAGCCCAGCCTCTGCTGAGCTCCCCCAGTCTGGGGATTTGCCTGTGGTTAATTGGCACCCAGCCGTGTCCCCCCCAGGGCGGGTACATGCCCAGGAATGTGCACACCTGCTCCAGGAGCTCATCTCTCATGGAGACACACATGGACATGAACACAGGCACTGCTGCAGCCTCCCACCATCCCATCCCCACCCGTGCCCCAGCTCCCGGTGCCCACGGGTGCGTTTGCTGGGTGGGGTGTGCCCGTGGGCACTGGGGCTCCCTGGGGGGGATGTTACAGGGGACCAGCTTTCCCCCACCCCCAAGCTTTCCCCCTGCTGGGGTACTGCTGTGGCTCACCCAGGATTTCCCTCCTGGAGCTTTTCAGCCAGGCTTGAATGCATTCCCAGCTCCAGTTCCTCAGTGTCCTGGAGCTCTGGACGCTGGGGCTGATATGGATGGCCCCTGGGGGTTCCACCACTGCAGACCCTCCCTTAACCCTTTGTGCCCTGTGCTGCTGGTGGATGGGATGTACCCCAGAGATTCCCCAGGAGAAGGTGGACAGGCAGCCTGGAAGGCGCAGCAGTGCCAGGCAGGCAGGTGCAAGGGTCACTTTGGTATCACCTCCAGCCCATCCTTGTGCCATGGGGACACCAAAACTGGCCTTGGTTCACTAGGACATGTCCCCAGCGCCTGAAGAGCCCCATGGGGGGTCACTCCAGCACCTCACTCACCCACTTGTCTCTTGTCCCTCCAGCCTGGCAAGGACAGGAGTGGCAGTGCCAGCCGGTCCCCGACAGCTGCCCAGCACCCCCGGGGGCAGAGCTTCGTGCAGAGCCACTTCCAAGCGCAGTACAGGTGAGTGGAGGGCTGGATCCTGCCCCACCAGGGCTTCACCCTCCTGTGAGGGAAGGAATGTGACAGGGAGGGGGTCCATCCATCCACCCATCCATCCATCCCATCATCCCATCCATCCCAGGCACCAGAGCTGCTGCTTCTGTGGACAGAAAGTGTCCAAGGCCAGGTTGGACAGGGCTTGGAGCAATTTGAGCTAGTGAAAGGTGTCCCTGTGGGAAGGGGTGGGAGCTGTGTGCAGATGGAATGGTCTTTGAAGGTCCCTCAAAAACCCAAACCATTCTGTGGTTCTGTCACAGGGCTCAGGATTGGGGTTTTCCCAAGCCTGTCCCAGCAGTCCAGCATAAGGGTGTCCCTGCACAGGACATCCCACATGTTCATCCCCCTGAGACTCACAGGATGTTGGGAGGGCCAGCGTGTGGCCACCCTGTGCCTGTGCCATGG